GAAAAACCAAGCCTGCCATATTAACCAGTATTTTTAATTTTGCTCCTTCAGGGCCATAGTAAGCTTTTTCATTTGTTGAATCTCCTTAATTCTACCAAGCTACTTTGTAGTGGTGGGAGGTGAACTTTGTTTCCACCCTTGCTGGAATGCAGGCTTTGGCGGCATTGAGTAGATGTTTACGCTTTGTTTACATGGTTTTGTGGGATGTAGCACAGCAGCCCATTTATTTGCAGCCCATTTATTTGAGTGGGCTGCATGCCGTGCCTCGCAAAACACAGGAAAAGTATCCCTGCACCTTTCCAGCAGTCACAAAACGTACTACAGTGTGGTTTCCAGTACGGGTGGCGTGCCATTAAAATTAATGGAAACGCCCACTGGTCCAGCATTTTGTGTGCGGGTGGTTGCAGCTGTGAGACAAAGTGTGGGTCCCGTAGCAGCTTCCACCTGCACTGGTGTGAACCAAGGCTTAAGCAGTGTGTTCTTCTATTTCTTGATAGATAAGGGAGTATCTTGCAGTCAGTAAGCTGCAGGGTCCCGATTCAGAGACACACCTATGAGAATCTTTATCATATGTTCTACAGAATCCCAGAATACCTGTCATTTGGGAGAATCCAGAAAACTCCATCAGCCCCCATGCATCTCCAACAACTGGTGGGAACCTGTGATAAATTGTGGGAGTTGTGTACCATCTGGTTAATAGGCTGGAGCCACTTTCTTCAGCCAGTGGGAGACACATTCTAACTTGAGATTTGACCCGCTGACTCAGCTACAGAGCAAAGTGTCTGCAAACTTGCCCATAAACAGTTAAATATGAAGCAGTTTTCTTCCAAGGATACTGCTTTTGAACTTTTACAGTTCCCTCAAAGGGTTACTTTAACTGATTTCCCGCCACCCTATAGCAGAAATACTGCTACAGAGCGCCAGCGCTGCGCAAAATCATGTGTGTATATATACGTGATTTTGTATTTCCGGGAAGGGGGCATGTGTGCGCCCTAAACGGGCCACCATTGCTGGCCTCGGATGTCGATCACCGCGTCCCGGCCAGTGATTCCCCGCCAGCACCCCAGCGATCGCTGAGTATCACTTAAAGGGGAGAGACTTTTATGTAAACAATACAGATCTCTCCCATCAGCTCCTTCACATTGTTTTGTATTGCTCTGCATAGCAGAGCAATACAAGGCAATATGCTGACACAGTGAAATACACACACACACACACACACACACACACACACACACACACACACAGCACACTGTAAAACCGCACACAGTTAACCCTTTGATCGCCCCAGATGTTAACCCCTTCCTGCCCAGTGCCATTAGTACAGTGTAAGTGCTTTTTATTAGTGTCACTGGGGATGCCAGTGACCGTTCCCCACCCCATTGTCAGAATGCCCGCCGCAGTCCTGCTATAAGTCGTTGATCGCCGCCATTACTAGTATTAAGAAAAAAAAAAAAAAAACAGTATATATATACTGCCATTTGTAGATGCTATAACTTTAACATAAACCAATGTATTTACACGTATTGGATTTTTTTTTTTTTTTTTTTTTAGAAAAGATATGCATTTTGCCCTAAATTTATGATGCAATTTTATTTATTTATTTTTTTTAATTTTTTTACTGGACACGTTTAACAGCAAAAGGTCAAAAATATAGTTTTTTTTTGTTTTCTCAAAATTATCCTTTTTTTTTTGTGTATAGTGCAAAAAATAAAAACCGCACAGGCGATTAAACACCACCGAATGAAAGCTCCATTTGTGGGGGGAAAAAGGACATAAATTTAAATTGGGTGCAGCGTTGCATTACCACGCAATTGTCAGTTAAAAATAACACAGCGCCGTATTGCGAAAAATGGCCTGGATCAGGAAGGGGGGTAAATCCTGTGGAGCGCATGTGGTTAAAGGAAACTAGTACTGAGACAAATATAGAGGTCATTGACTTTCTGAAAATGCTATTTGCGTGTCTCTGGCTGCAATCCAACAAAGTCACTAACAAGGAACAATTTGGCAGATAAGTAGAGTCAGAGTGAAGTCCTAAGTCTTTATCTGAAAACCTTTTCTTAGTACTGAAGTAATTTAAAAGTGGTTATAAAGCTGAACACTAACTATGCTTACACAATCTGACATACCTTCTGTAAAATAAAAAAAGTTCTATTTACTTGCCTTTTTTTAGTCCTGTCACATGATCCTGCAGCAAAAGCCCTCCCGTGTGTAGGGGAGTGCTTGACAACGACTGAAGTCACTCATAGGTTTCCATGGCCCAGCCATTGTCAGCACTCCCTCCTCTCCTCTGCAGCAGCTGCTCACTGACACAGGGAAGCTGGAGCTGACGGATCATTTTACCAGAGGGATAAAAAAAATTGCTAAGTAATTAGATTTTTTTTACACAGGTAATGCAGGACAGGTATGAGGTGGGAGGGAACATTTTTAAGAATAGTTAGTGTTTATGCTTTTCTTCCTGTTTAACCACTTTCTGGCCAGCCTATTGCAGCTTTACTGCTACAGGGCTGCCGATCTGTGCAGACACTATGCTCTTCATGCAATTCAATTAATATATACTTATTGGTATTTTTTTTTTATACCAAAGACATAGAATACATTTTGGCCTAAACTTATGAAGAAATTTTATTTTTTTATATTGACTATTTTATAGCAAAAAGTCAAAAATTATATAATTTTTAAAAATTTTCTGTTTCTTTTCATTTATAACACAAAAAATATAAAGAACCCAGTGGGGATCAAATACCAACAAAAGAAAGCTCTATCTGTGTGAAAAAATGATATACATTTCATTTGTGTAATGTTGCATGACCGCGGAATTGTTAAAGTAGCGCAGAACAGTATAGCAAAAAATGGCCTGGTCATGGAGGGGGGGGGCGCGCTAAATCCTCTGGAGGGCAAGTGGTTAATCAGCTAGGGAATAAGTTACTTTAACCACTTGCTGTCCGCCTGCTGTTTATAAATGGCAGGGCGGTGGCAGTCCAGGGGCTGGTTGCCGTTCATAAACGGCACCCGCCTTTCCTAGCTGTGCGCGCTCCCTGGGAGCTCCGGACACAGTGAAACACCGATCGTCGGACGGGACCTCTGTGTGAGGTCCCGATCATGTGATCACTGATTGGCCAATCAGTGATCACATGCAAAGTAGTAAGCAAGATGTCACTTGTGACATCATTGCTTACTACGTGTGAAATCTGTGAATGATCACAGAGGTCACATGGTACAAGGCTATTCACAACAGCCTTGTACCATGTGACAAGCTGTGACCAATCACAGCTCACTCAGTACTTCTCAATGACTGCAAGAATGCAGACAGAGAGAAAGAGAAATGATTGCTTTTACATCCTATATGGGTGTAAAAGCAATCATTGTAAAAAGAAAAAAAAAAAAATCTTCATCACCCCCCACAAGTAGTACAGTGTCACCATGGTGACACTGTACTGCTAGGGTGACAGTATATAAAAATAAAAAATAATATAAAAAAAATAAAATAAAAATGTAAAAAAAAGTTTAAAAATTATTATTTTTGGTTATAAACTAATTTGGATTTTTTGTTTTTTACTAAAAAAAATAACGGAATCAATTTTGGCCAAGATTTATGATGAAATATTATTTATTTGCAAAATTTTATAAAAAAAAAAACTTTTTCAAAATTTTTGGACTTTTTCATTTACATAGTAAAAAAAAATAAAAAATCCCAGCGGTGAATAAATACCACCAAAATAAAGCTTTATCTGTCTCAAAAAAAGGTAAAAAATTCATATGGGTACAGTATTGCATGACCGCGCAATTGTCATTCAAAGCGTGATAGCGCTGAAAGCTGAAAATTGCCCTGGACAGGAAGGGGGTAAAAGTGTCCGGACAGGAAGTGGTTAATATATGGTAATTTTACCATAGGCTGTGATACAATACAATGGTCCTCAAATGTTTCCTCGATTGTGTTTAAATCATATGAATTCACAAATAATCCATTTTTCCTTAGAGTATGTTCGCCAGATTGTTAAATACGATTTACATTCTTTGAGGTAAGATGTCTACGAGACATCTTATTTGGTTTCTTCTTCAACCTGGAATTTGCGGACTGAATGTGGAGCAATGTGAATCATACACATTCTGTTTGCAAAGCTCTGACTCCTTTTAAAGTGGTTTTAAAGGCTCAAGGTTTTTTTACCTTCATGCATTCTAAGGTAAAAATCCTTCTGTATTCAGAGGTCCCCCAATACTTACCTGCGCCTCGTCGTGATACAGCCTCGGCTATCCAGAACTCTCCCTCCTCATGGGCTGGGACAATCATAGCCAGTGAGCCAATGAGAAGAGGGAGGGGGCGGAGCCGAGACAAATCTCTGTGTATGAATGAAAACGCAGAACACAGTAGCATAGGAGCAGGCCTACTTGGGTGCACTCATAGCAAGTGCTCCCATAGAAGCTACACATGATCATAGGTTGTCTGGGGAAACTACTATGTGCTGAAAAACACTTTTTTATGATGTAGTGTGCTTTGATTATGTTTGCATTAACACAGTGCACGGTATGAGCATTGGCACATTGCAATGACATTTATTTTGAATTACACCTCAATGCACATGTGGTGCAGCACACCAAAAAAAGGTGCACTGCATCAGAAAAATGCTGCATTTCTGTTTTTTTTTTTTTTTTTTTATATTTTCCTGTTTTGATGGATGATCAAAATTGATGGACAATCTTAACGCAGTGCACAGTCATTCACCTGTGACAAAATGCCTTTAAACATGCATACATTGAAGTATGCAAGAATGTCAAAGTGCGAATAGGCCCTTACTCTCCTATGAAATTTCTGTGCAAAATATTGTATTTTTAAAGAATTGTGTAATACTGCTCTATTGTATTGAGTTAAAGATTGTTATCTTCTGATGATGAATACATTGTTTTTAGGTTGCTAAATGACCATGGAATCTGGTGCAGAGACTCAGCAGAGTGGAGATGCGGCTGTTACGGAAGCAGAAGTCCAACAGATGACTATACAGACCCAACCACAGATTGCAACACTAGCACAGGTATAAAATGTAGTGGTGCACTGAAATGAAATTCTGGTGCCGAAACCGATACCGAAAATTCAGAATGCACATGATCGAAAACCAAAATGTCTGCCTATGTGCAGAGGTTCAAATTTTTTTTTTTTTTGGTAATCTTTTTTTTTTTACTTTTAATGTGTATTTTTATTTATTTTTTTAACTTATGATTTTATTGCTACCACATAGAGGACCAGTAGTCCTCCTGTGTGATAGTATGAGTAACAGGTCCTCTTTGTAGGGGTGAGGGGGTGGGGGAAGGGGCAGTGTGTGCAAGGAGAGGAGCAGTGTATACAGTGAGGGAGCAGTGTATACACTTAGGCTCCCTCACTGGCTGCTGCTATATGTCAGTGCCATTTCTTAAAGCGGCGTTCCAGCTGTTTTTATGTTTATTAAAAGTCAGCAGCTACAAAAACTGTTGCTGCTGACTTTTAATAAACACACACTTACTTGTCCCAGAGTCCAGCGATGTTCTCACCCTCGCCGTCCCTTCTCTCTTCCACAGTGCTGGCATTTCAACTGTGGGCACCAGGCTGTGACAGCTTGCTGCTTCACAGCCTGGTGCCCACTGCGCATGTGCGAGTCCTGCTGCGCCTCCTAATTGGTTCTGCAGTCTTCTGGGACCTGTGAAAGTTCCCAGGAAACTGCGGGAGGGAGGAGGGGGCCGTACTTCCGGCTCACTGCAAACTGAGCCAGAAGTGAAGTGGGAGCGAGTACCCCCCCCCCCCAAAAGGTTCCAAATATGGCAGTGGAGGGGGAGAGGAGACAAATAAAAAGAGCTTCCGCTTTTGAGTGGAATCGTGTTAAATGTAATTACCGTCTTTTTTTTCCCCTTCACTATAGCTCCAAGAAGGGGCTGTCATTCTCCTTGCCTCTAAAGGAAACAAAGGGGCGGGGTCACCCAGTGAAATTACCCAGTGACCCCCGCCCCTTTGTTTCCTTTAGCAGCGGGGAGAATGACAGCTCTTTTTCTTTAAGCTTTTGTGAAGGAAAAATAAGCTGGTAATTACATTTAAAAATCGGCAGGGACATTTAGTGGTAGCTCACTGTATACACTGCCCCTTTCTTGCCTTTAAACAGCCTCCCAACTGCCCCCACCCCACATCTGCAGTACACACACACCCCCTCTATCTGCTAAATTCTTCCTATCTGCAAAATGCCGATTGGGCTATTTCTGGCTGACATGTTTCGGTGGCCGAAATTTCGGTGCATCCCTAATAAAATGTCTAGTTGAAATGCAATGAAGACACTGATATGCTGTCACAGTTCTCCTGGCTGTTTCTTTGTTTTTTTTTTTGTAGCTTGTTACTAGAAAAAAAAACATGATATGCATGTTTTTTAGACCCTTTTTTTAGGTGCTTGAAGCGTGTGGCTCAAAAGAAGCTCATGCACTTTTGTGATTGACAAGTGATACAGATGGAAGGGGAAGAAATTGACAATTGTATTGTTACATTTAGATAGCTATCCTAAAGAGGTATAAGTCTGGGTTTACACTTGTCTGTTTCCGCATTCTTGCATTTTTTTAATTCGCATTGGGAGGCATTCTTGTGCGTTTTTATTTGTTTTTACTGTTGCCAGTAAAAATCTATTTACACTGTGAAGCTCGTTTTGGCTGTACTTCTCCTGTGGAGCACAGGAGTGCAGTTCTTTCTTCATTCCTGTGACCTGCTGTCATCGGACAGCGGGCTAAAGCCTTGACACCCTGGTTGAGAGAGGCTGCTTTAGGCTAATTATACGCTATACAATATGATTGTAGATCTACCGTCAGCATCTGTGTAGTGTCATTGTGCATTTTTTTTTATACAAATTGAATGGATTGTTAAAGGCAGACCATTCATTCATTTTTTTTTCTTCAGCATGTGGGTTAAAGGGAAAAAAAAAAAATCTGACTACCCCATCCAAACATTCGAAGTGCTGTGCTATTGTGTTCTGACGGTGGGAAGCCTTCTCCACAGTCAGAATACAGTAATTGGTGCTGCCAGCTATAGCAGGTGCCACTGATCGATCAGAAAAACCCAATAGGCTGGTTGTACAGAAGTCAGTTGGTAGATCGACTTTGTAAAACCTGGGTGCCTATACATGGATCAGATCTTGTCTGGTCCCTGCTTAACTGGCCAAATTTCAATCCATGTATGGCTGGATTAAATTTGCCCTCATATAGTTTTGGTAAATCTACAGGAGATTGTACAATTCGTTTGTATATTGTGTGGCAAGCTTAGGTGTGAAATTGAGTCAGTTTAGTCACATGAAAACTGCTGATATCCAGCTGCTGACAAGGGAAATGGAACCTTCTCTATAAATTTGTTAAGAGTTGTAGTGACCAGGATGCTGAATAATTTTTTTCCTTTGTTCAACACAAGTTTATTATTGTATGTGGTTTTTTTTTTTTTTTGGTTTTTTTTAAACGCAAAATGTACGTTTTAATCTTAATTGTACAGTACAGAACACATGAAAAGTATTCATTCAGCCTGGGTTAAAGGTTCATGCCTTCAGGTGATGGCAAAGCTTTAGAGGACACACCCTCTGGGCGCTTCCTCTTTTAATATATAGATAAACAGCGCAAAATAGACCTAAATACAAATATTAGTAAATCACACAATATAAATGTCCCATATTAAATAGTGCACCGCTCGGCGTCTTGAGAACGCCCGATGGGAGGGGCGAAACGCGTTGACGCCATTTTGTGGGATCTAGACTGGTTCTCTGCTGTTCCTCTGCTCTATCTGGCTGCATTGGTGTGGGAATCCTGGATCATGTTAGCTGGTTTTCATCATAAGGCTGTCATGGGCTTAATAAATGTGCCTGTTACAAGCTGTTGAAATGTGAGTGGCCTGGATTTTGTCTTTTGGTATAATACTGATGTGGCAATATTACACTATATAAGTTTTCTCTTTGACGATATGGTGGAGCAAACTAGGAGGCCACGGTGAGGACCTGAAAGAAGATCTAAACTTGGAGGGGCAGGCTATCATTGAGCTGATGAAAAGGGGGTTTAGGATTCCCCAAAAATCCTTAATGGCTTTTCACTCACCAAAACTGGTGAGTGTATTTGATGTTGGTGTGCACGGGTGAGAGGTTGAAAGTTATAAACATCTTTGGAATCTTTAGTTTTCATCACAAGGGACTTTTTTGCTTTTTTTCTGAAGATTTTTTGATATATATATGCACTATTTAATATGGGACATTTATATTGTGTAATTTACAAATATTTGTATTTAGGTCTATTTTGCGCTGTTTATCTATATATTTTACTGTTTGTGTTTTCACACATTTTTTGCATAGCAGCAATTTAGAAGGGTGATTCACTGATTTTGATTGGCGCAGGAATATTTTTCTTTTGCTTCCTCTTTTAACCCTACCCCACTCTCAATCCTAATGTTTTTTTTTTGTTTTTTTGCTAGTCTCCTAAAAGTGGTTCTAAAGCCAAAACATTTTTTTACCCTAATGCATTGCCTGCACAAAAAATGTTTTGCCTTTTGCCTCTTTTGTTTCTTTTCCCTTCATAAACACTTTTGGTAATGGATGACTTCTCTTTCATGGAAAAATCACTCTTAGATTTACAATTTTTATCTTATTTTCAACTCTTCAATCAACTCCTTCACTGTTTTCTAATACAGCAAATGGAAGCAGTGTGTCCTGATCAGTACAATCTTGGTAAACCTTGGGAGCCGTATACAGTTCAGCATTGTGGGCAGGTAAGACAGGGTCACCCTCTGTTTCTGACAATTACTGTTAATCATTGGGCAATATTTGAATTGTATTCACTATGCTGTAAACTTTTCAAATATAGCACTTAAACTCAACCACTTAGAGTTCAGGTGAATGGCTAAGTGTGAAATCACGCTACATTTTGCTCCCACTTTTGTCTAGAAGTTATCAGACGCTTCCTCCTTCCCTTTTGCCAGCCAAATTAGTGCTTTCTCCCTGTGGAAGCTCTTCTCCTATGGGGTTCTCATGGAGTAGGGTATTACTCATAGATATGACGGAAAGCAAGCGAAAGGGAGGCATTTCAAATCCACAGACTTACATTTGCTCTTCTGAAGGCATGTACAACGATTGCCACAAGGGCTTCGCTACAGGACTGTCTACACCTAAGTTGCTGCTCTCTCCTACCAGACACGCTTGCCCTATTGCACACCTTACTTTGTGAGTACCCCACAGAGGAATGCCTATAGCTATGGTGGAAAACAGGCAAGAGGGAGCCACAGCAAAATTCCAGGTGAACATTTGCTTTGCTGATGGTCTGTACAATACTCAACCTCCGAGCAACAACACATCGCTTATGCTGCATCAGGAGCCGGATCTAACACTCTAGCTAGCTCAAGCTCTATTTCAGGCACTCAACAAGTGGCCTCTTTGACCTAAGCAGAATTCTCTGCATCAGTCACATTTCCTAGAACGGATCAAGTCTTTACTACAGCCATATCTGTACTGAGTCCAAAAACACCTCGCCTCTTTTCCTACTCCCATTTCTCAACCCGAGAATGCAACAAGCAACGTATTTAACAAAACCAGAAATTTTTTCTATGTGACTATTTTTTGGAGAAAAATACACCACATTTCTCCCCTGCTCCTGTTTCTGTATCAGAGTTGTATTCTGCTATGCCTGCCTTAGACAAGGCAGATGCAGAAGAGGATAAATGGACACTGAGTCTGTATTTGAGGAAGCTGCAGAAAATGTTTCTCCCCCAAGTTGCCACTATATTGAAGAGTGAGCTTCATGCAACATGCTTGCTAATGTGGAAAATCTCCCTACTGCCATCAGCAAAAGACTTGATATTGTACCCAAAAAGGTTGAGTATCAAGCTGCTCTTCCCTGATAGATGCATATACAGAAAGACCCCCAATGGGACTTTATTGCAGCAACTGACACATTACACACATACCCAAGGAGACATTTTTACAAAACGAATATCGGCTTTATTACATAGATGTACTTATAGAAAAAATATAGTTTTTTTTTTAAAAGAGAAATTTCGCTCTGACTAATCTTACAAGAAGGCTTTCTTCACAAGATAGAGAACCACCCAAACGGGGATCATTCCACATTTTTGATCTTCTTCAGGGGGCATAAATACAGAGAGAGTTTTTAATAAACACATAAAAGTAAATAGTGATATACAAGTATAGACAATTGGTCAATAACATTTATATCATTACAATAAATCATACTTGCAAAAAATATATCAGAGCAATTGTAGGATAATGACCTCCAGGATGAAACCACATAGATCAAGGTCCCGACAAAATAAATCATCCAAGAGAGCAATAGTGGTCAAATGTCAATCCCAAGGAATCAACGGCAACTGGGAAACGTTAAATCATCCTGTAAACTTTCTGTGGACAGTAGGGAAATAAAGTAAATTAAATATTATTATTTAGTGGGCCTGATGGAGAATATTCAGAGTGGTCTATAAGGAATAAAACTGACCATATTGAAGTAAGGCCAATGTGCTCCATGAATTGAAATTTCATTCAGTGATGAGAATATCAGCTCCGAAGAATAGAATGAAAGATTAAAATGCTTTTTTCTTCAATGGTGAAGATATCACTAATCCCATAGGTTGAAAACTCAGGATAATAGGTGGAACTACAATGGAGATCAGAGAATTATAAATGCATTAGTACCAGCTGCCCATGATAATATAAAAAATGATCAATACGATAGCTATCCATAATGCTTACTCAAATATAGAAGTGTAGAGATATCCTTGCTTCAAATTGGTGCAGTATAGAGATGTAAGATATCTCACAGCGGACAAACCTTTGTCTAAATAAGGTGTCTATAATAAAAATCACACCAAATGTGAGAACACTAGACAGCTTAACATGATAATAAATGCTGATCTTCCACAAAAGAACCAAAATCATTACTCACCAAATCATCAAAGTAATTCAGGTAGCCACTTTGGAAGCAGAAACACCAGATCACTGATAGGCAGAGATGTAGTAAGCCTCAGTTGGTATAAGTTGCGTCGAGATTATTTGTATATGGGTAAAATTAAATCAAATCGTATATACACTCAAAGGGTTTTCCATAGTAATGACTAATTTTTTTCACCAGAAAGACAAAAATGAGTGCTCACCAGACCATGAAGATAATGTAAGAGACCACCTTCAAGGCAAGAAGCCAAAGACCGATTGCAATAATGCACCCATTAAGTAGGGTTGAATGAGATAATTGTCTCATTAGAGAGTGATCGAATGAACCTGTGCCTGCCAGCCCAAGGAGAAAGCGTCTTAGGCCGCCAATGACGCCAAATTGGCGTCGTTCTGTGGCCACCCTGGCGTCCATGAGGGAGGGATCTCCCCTGACATCCGCCGCCAACCCTGGTCATGATAGACTTGACATCACGCCAGATCATTGCGCAGTGACATCGCCACGCATGCGTGGCAGAATGCAACGTCCTGGGCAGTCATGGGACGCTGCTGGCACGGGAGCTAGCCCCCCCCCCCCCACACACACACAGGACGCAGAGGAAAGCTTTCCCCCGCACTGTCTGAGGCAGCGAATGGGCCGCAGGGAAAGATTCCCCACAAGACCAACCATAACCCGTGCCGGATGCTCAGAAGGATGGCCACCTGTCAAGACCAAGATTCAAGTCATCCCGGAAATCATCTGAAAATAAAAGAAAAAACCCAAATCAAAAAAATCAATTGAAAAGAAAATATTTTTAGAATACTGAAATATCAATCATTTAATTCCACAATATGTACAACAATAATAATAGTGCACATCCCCTAAATAAATGCCCAAACACAGGCAATGAAAACATTTATGTTAAACAATATATATAAGTGAGTTCTAGGATTATGGGTCAACTGTAATATGGATAGTGTTATTTCTTATGGGGAAGGGATTCAATCGGTTTTATCAGAAGTAAATCCCTTCAAAAACAGGCGGAATGATATTGCTTCATTAAAACCAGGAGGTACAGTAGCCTGCATCCTATATATCCATTTCTGTTCTAGTTGGAGAAGATTTTTGTTCCAATCCCCACCACGATCAGGGATATGAATACGATCCAAAGCAATGATTATAGAGGGGCTCTATAATTGTGAACTAGTACTGCATGTCTTCCAGTTGGGAGATAGTGATTGCCTATCTGCATGCTGTAAACATGTTTGTAAATGTGACGCCAAAATTCCTGTTTGCTCTTACCAATGTAAATGCGCCGCATTCACACGACATAAGATATACCACCCCTCTAGTTTGGCAGTTGGCAAAATGTTTTAAGGTATGGTGAGCTCTGTTGGGTAACAAAATGGTTTTCATCTTGTTTATCAAGGGACAGTATGGGCATTTCCCACAGGGATATGTCTCATAATCCTGACAAGTTTGTCCCATAGTGAACTAACCTTTCTGAAAGTTATAGATGGTACAATGTCTACAAATTGTTTGACCAAATTATCACTGGTTAGAATTGACCAATGACATTTCAAAAATTGTCTAATTTGTACGTGCTGGTTGGAGTACTTCAATACTATGCGGGTGGGATCTTTTGCCATATCTGCTTTCTTCTTCTTCTGAAAAAGAAGACTATGGCGTGACTGTCGGCAAGTACGATTATATGCTTTGTGTAAGCAGGTCTTACTATATCCTCTATCCAGTAGTCGCTCTCTTAGATTGTCTGCTGCCTCTTGAAAACTTTGTTCAGTAGAACAATTGCGCTTAAGCCTCAAGTACTGGCTATAAGGTATAGAATTCTTAAGCGGTTGCGGATGGAAGCTGGATGCATGTAATATAGTATTTCCTGCAGTATCCTTTCTGTATAAATCGCTAGAAAGATGACCATTGCTATCCTTGTGCACGCGGACATCTAAAAAGGTCCCCATTTCCCTGCTGTAAGACATAGTGCATTTGGAGTGTTTTGATAAAATGAATGTCAACAACTATAACCTCAAATTCATTTGTTCAGAGCCCTCCCAGACGAGAAATACATCATCAATGTAACTATGCCCCGTAGATATGTGGCATGTGTACAGCGAGAGGCTCTTGTCATCAAGGAACCACTGTTCCCACACCCCAGGTACAGATTGGCATAGGATGGGGCACAAGTTCCCATAGCCACGCCTTGCACCAGGAGGTAGTGGGAACAGTCAAATGAAAAGTAATTATGTTGAAGAATATACTCCAATCCTGCAAATACAAATTCATTCATAGGCCAATCTTGAATGGGTCGTTGGGAAATATGTGTCATATAGCCGATAAATCCCGATCATGGGGAATAGAGCTATACAAGGCCTCGATATCGATTTGTAACCAAAAAGGCTTCTTTAGAGATAGTGGAATCTTCAATAATTTGCAAAAAATGAATGACATCTTTAACAAATGACAGTAATGATGACACATGAAGCTGTAAGTATGAATCTATTTCATGACTCAAATTTTTGGTAAGACCTCCATTCCCTGAAACTATAGGGCGTCCTGTGGGATGTTTGGGGTCCTTGTGTATCTTTGGTAAACTGTAAAAGGTTCTACGAAATTTGACCCTAATAAATTCCCACAGTTCCTTCTGGATTATACCCTTCTCCAAAGCACAATCAATCGGCTTATAAAAATCTGAGACAAATTTTGCAATCAAGTTTGCGGGAATGGGACGGTACCAACTGTTATAGAGCAAAATCTTATAACACATTTCCTTATATTGTATGTAGTCCATAATAACTACGTTACCACTTTTATCAGATGGTT